GGCGGCCCTGGGGACTGTACCAAAATATTTACCTATGTTGACATTTTTCTGTAAGATGGTTCTCTACGCACAAAGTAGTCTAACTACAGCAAATATATTGGAAAATGTGGCCAAGACACTCGAAATAGAAAAGATGCCAAATAATGGCCAAATCAGTTGAAAAACGTGGCCAAGACCACGGTCATAGCTGAAATCAGGGATACATTCATATGGGGGTTATACCAAAACGAGGCCCAACGAATATTCTCTTCGGGGTTACAAATTCAATAGAATACAAAATTTTCTTTTCTGACCACACATTAGATGTGAAAGTGGACTCGGGGATACTCCAATGTGGGGACTTTACTTAAATAAATCCCTATGTGGCAATCATCTGTATGATGGTTCCCTACCCCAGGGTAGCATAAATACAATTTTAAGCCAAATCAATTGATGAATGTGGTCAAGACCAAAATGGGCCCTACTCTGAAAATTTCACATTTTAGAAACAAAGATGCCAAATAAGGGCCAAAAAATGAAAAAAAGTGGCCAAGACCCCAAAAATAGCTTAAATCATACGATGGCTATATAAATATGAAATCGGGTTGTACCCTTATCCGTGAGTTATGATCGATATCATGACTTGCAAAAACGATATAATGTATCTTGAATGTTTGGGAAGAATTTCTGTAGGGATAGAAATCATTTTCTTACTAAAAGTCCCATTCGCTCTACTATTTTGCACCCTTTAAGTTTGGTATTTTACTGATTGTACTCCCAAAGAATTTCGCATTTTGAGCTCTCGTTGGACGGATTATTGTCACATGAAAGAAGTAGGTCCACGCTTTGAAATGAGCCCCATTAGGCTTTTTCGGTAATTTTTGTTTTATTTAAATGAATTCGCATCTTCCAGCTGAACCACGATGTAGGCCCTGGAGTTGAAAGGTAGATGTCAGTTAACATCCTATTTCGCACTTATTTCATTTTTTTGGTGAAAAATTATATATAGTGAAAAATTATTCTTTATTTTGTTCACAAAAAAACACTAAATTCAATATGATAATACAAATTGAAAAAAATTGACAAAAGAAGAATAACAAATTAAAAAAATCTTCAACTTGTTCGCTGTTCGTCAAAATAAAAATGTAAATATATCACATTTTTACGCGATTTTTTTGGATATTATCCTTTTCGGACAGGAGGCAATTCCGAATTTGTATGAATCGTTACAATCAGTCCAGCGGTTCTTAAGTTATAAGCGTAGTAACTAACACAACTTTCTTTATATATATATATATATATATATATATATATATATATATAGATTTATTTAGGTCCGATACGAAATAGACAATATTGGCCCATTCCCTCAGAACCCACTCCATAGAGGGTCAACAGTTTAAATAATTATAACAGAAGTCAAAATACATACGATACGATTGATACTCTATTATGGAGAGAAACTTAATTTTGTCGCCCATTAGATCAAGGGGGCCAATATCATCAAATACACTGCCTATTCCGAAAAGATCGAATAAATTCGCGTCAAAGTCTTTCAGTTTCTCCCGTTAACTTCATTGTACATACGACTTTTTAGCAGCCTATGGAATCTTACTAAAGTTCCCAAAATATGCGCTTATCTTTTTCAATAACTATGATTTTTCCTTAATCAAAAACAGTTATATTTTTAGACCCTACAAATAATTTCGCATTTTTGCCGTAATTATCGTATCTTCCTGTGTGACAACATGTAAAAATTAGTTGAAATTTCCTTACACCTGTATTCCTATCATTCTTTTAACATCATAATTTGCTGGTAACATCGTGGTGATGTTGATGAAGATATGACGGCGACAATGTTGATATGTTGATATGCCTAAGAACGATGATGGTGTTGTTTCTCAGATTATTCCATAGTATCATACCCAACAGAGCCCTCAGCATTAAAGGCCCGTTGCAGGTTTAATGAACCTTTCTTTTTTAGATTTGTTTTTTTTCTGTCTGCTTTGTTTCATTACCGTCTGTTTGCCTAATGTCGGTTCTGTTGATTTGAGATTTATATTTCCCCCTACCAGCTTAGTACTGTTCTGTCTCCCATTTCAAACGAAAAAAAAAACTGAAGAAGAAAAAGGGTAAATAAATAGATTAGTTTTGACAAGCAACGGAAGATGAAACAATTGTCTAGAATAAAACAACTTCAACAACAAAAAGAAAAAAAGCAAACCTAACCAGCAACAGCATGATTTTATTACAAAACCTCAACCATTATCATTTTCATTGTTAGATGTTAGTTTTTTTTTGTCGAGCAAACATAATGTCATACATGTGTACATAGTTCTGGCTAGAATGCATAGGGACTATTTCCGTCTGTTTGTCGGGCTGTCTGTCTGTTTGCCCATTCATGCTGTTGTTTAATTATTTTAACATTACCCTGGTTGACGGGAACAAGGGAGAGAGGAATTCCATGTAATTATTGTTTGGGCAATCATGTTCCATGTACATGCTTGATGTCCGCTATGGGTGTCGGTTTTTTGTTCTTTTTCATTCGATTTTCTAATCCAGTGAAATATACACCTTTGCAACTCTATCTGTGAAAGAAATACAAAATATTATGCGGGGAATATGACTCACATGATAAATAGTTTACAAATGAAGGTTTGCAAAAATTAGTTTTTGGAAAAATGAAGCTTTGCGAAATTTTGAATCTAGATACTTAAGGACTCGCTGACCCACAGCTAGCCAATACATAGAGGGAGGGAGGGAGAGAGACTTCTATATAAAGATAAAGACTCCCCGGCTCTTCAGCTCGTATATAAAGAGAGACTTCCGGCTCGTCACCTTGTCTATAGGAAGAGAATGACAGAATCCTCGGCCCTAAAGCTCGTTTATACAAGGTGGCGCAAAAGTAATCTTCCGACTTTTTTTTGGCTATAATAAAAAAATAGAAACATTGATTCTTCTTGTGGATTATTTTTATTTGGTTTTAGTTTTTTTTTTACATCAAGTGGAGAATACGATGTCATATAAATGGCCGCCGCCACAGCTTAATGTCCGTTAAGCCCTTTTTATGGAATTTTCATCACTTTGGCCCAAACTTCCGGCGATAGGTCCTCACATTCTTGACGGATATTGTCTTTAAGGGCTGAAAGAGCCTCAGGCTTTTTGACATAAGCCCGCGACTTCAAACAGCCCCACAAAAAGAAGTCTGGAGCGGTCAAATCAGGCGATCTTGCTGGCCAGTGCAAATCGCCAAATCGGGAGATTAGGCGCCCGGGAAATTCATCCTTCAATATATCGTTTGTGGTCCGTGTAGTGTGTGCCGTTGCACTGTTTTGTTGGATCCAAATGTTTTCCAATCCCAACTCATAAAGATGTGGCAAAAATTAGTCATTGATCATTGCTTTGTAGCGCTCACCATTCACAGTAACCGTTTGGCCGCGGCGTCTTCGAAGAAAAAAAGTGTTGCTTCGCTTGGCCGAATATGGTGAACTGCCGAATTTGGTTTTCTCCGATGAGAAAACATTCGTTGTCCAGCAGTTTGTAAAAAAAACAAAATTATCGTGTTTACTTGCCAAAGAGGTCAGCTGAAAATATGCACCTTCGGTTGGCCACCAGAGCTCAAGCGCCGGCCATGGTGATTGTGTGGGCCGCCATAACAGCCGATGATCAGAATAAATGCGGAATATTATCGCGAAAATATTCTGGAGGGTGTATTAAAGCCGTGGGCACACAAACATTTTGACCGCAGACCTTGGACATTCCAACAGGACTCAGCACCATCGCACTCAGCACGCGTCACCCAAGAATAGTTACAAAATGAGGTTCCTCGCTTCATTTCCAGCGCACAATGGCCACCAAAATCTCCGGATACCAATCCGTTGGAATTTTACCTAAACTCCAACGGCGATTCTTCATTTCATATTTCAGAATTCTAGCTTTATGTGTGCGCCTAATATAAATAACAGCAAATTTAGTACTTACAGAACGTGTCATACCCTTCTAGAAAAATATTCTGGAGGGTGTATTAAAGTGGGCACGCAAACATTTTGGCCGCAGACCTTGGACATTCTAACAGGAGTCAGCACCATCGCATCTCAGCACGCACCACCCAAGAATAGTTACAAAATGAGGTTCCTCGCTTCATTTCCAGCGCACAATGGCCACCAAAATCTCCGGATACCAATCCGTTGGACTATTGTGTCTGGAGTATTTTGGAAAGCAAGGTTGGCACTAAAAAATACCAAAGTGTCGATCACATCAAGCAAACGCTTCGCCGGGAATGGGCCTAAATACCGTAGAGCAACATTAGGGCAGCGTAGGCCATAATTCGTGACAAAGGTGACCGATTCGAACAAATCTAGACTTATTCTAAAATTCGATGCTATTTCCGATATTTTTGTTTCATTCAAAAAAAAAAAAAAAATAAAAAAATGTAAAAATTATGGCGTTTGACTTGGTTGCAGTTTTTTATCTCACTCTGTTTACAATATGTCATAAGTCATGGGTCTATTTACAATCCAATTTAGTAATTTTCGTACATTATATAGCACGCATTCGTATAATCAGCCGTTTGTCAATGTCGCAGTGACACTTATAGTAAAATTCATAAGTTTATCTCCATTTTAACACAGGTACAGTTGGGTGCGAATTTTCAAAACCACTCCCAATTTTGATTCTCATATAAAATATATAGATTATAGATCTGTCCGTAAAAAAATATCATGGTATCAAATTAGAAGCTTTGGTACTATTTATACTGTTAAAGTTCGAATTTATTTATAGTATAATTATACTAAACTCCAACGGCGATTCTTCATTTAATATTTCAGAATTCTAGCTTTATGTGTGCGCCTAATACAAATAACACCAAATTTAGTACTTACAGAACGTGTAGTACCCTTCTAGACAATGTATCAAAAACCCAACCTTATTCCGATCTTCGGCCCCTCAGTTAGTCCTTGAAACAATCAATCACTCAACTCTTTTATTTTTATTAATAAATATTTTTTTTTTATTTTCAGATACTTAAATACAGAAATCATAATTTAGATGTAATTACTACAAGGACCATTGATTTTGCCAACGACCACGATAGCTTCCGACTCCAAACATGCTGTAAGCCCATCCATATATGTGTTTCCATTCTCAGAATGCATTCATTAACGTCATCACTTGTACATAGATTTTCACGTAGCACTTTATCCATTAACAATTTCCACGTTTTACGTTCTTAAAAAAAAAAAACACAACAACAAAATCTATAAAGATAATCGACATAACCTCAATACATCCATCCTACAACTTCCACCCCCACCGCACGTTTAAAACAGGCGACAAATTCTGTTGAAAAATCATCAAGAAGCCCTTACAATGGCTGATAGCCGGGAACGAATACGTGGACCATCGAGGGATGGTCGGGAATTTTTGACTAGCCCACGGCAAGTGCTGCGTCGCCTAATGTTGTTATCCGAGGGACGCCAGTATCGGGAAGCTGCTGGAGTTGTTGGTCGTCTGGGACCGTCGGTATTGAGATCTGTTATTGCCGAATTACCAATTGATTTGTTGCTGGAACATTTGCCTCATAGCTCATATCTACTGGAGTCGTTCTTTTCAAGGTAAGACAAGCTAATCGAAGAAAAAAATCAAATAATATCATATTTCACTTCTTTTCAGATTAATCACAGTCAATCCTTCGCCCAAGCCGGATGTACCCACCGAAGCGGTTCTTTGGCAATTGATAAAACTTTTCTCCAATCCCCATGATCCTGGTCTGAAACAACGATGCCTAAAACTTCTACAATCCCTGGTGCAATATGAACCGAATTTAAGGCACACCATACGAGAGACTCGTAAATCCTTCAATGATGCCGTTCAGGGACTGGGTGTACATGGTCTGACCACAGATGCCTCAGGCCAGTTAATATCCCTGCACATGGCGCTCAAAAGTGAACTGCAAAGACACATCGACACCTACAAAGTGGCCCTACACAAACTGGAAGAGTTGAGCGCAATAACCATAAATCAAGATCCTGCCCATTCCTCCCATCAACGCCTGCTGGCCATAAACTATGGCGATATACAACAGCGTTTGATAGATAATAAAACCATTTTAACACTTCTCGATAAACCTGCTCTCAAACAATTAGCTAGTCTCATTGAAAATCTATCCCAACGTGTTGAGAACGATAAGGAGGTGCTGAAGGCAGTCGGGCAGGTGAAGAGAGTGGATATGCAGGCGAACTTAGAGAAACGACCTGCCGCGGGCTTGCTCATGAATTTTGCCCGTGGCTGTGAAGTTGTTCTACAAATGATGGGGCCAGAAAGTTTGAATGGTCCCAATACCACACCGAGTATTGGTTCGCCCAATGGTGGCAGTAACAGCAGTTGCAGTGATGGCTATCATTCGGATGATTCGGCTAATGAAGAAATAAGGTAACTTTACCATCACTCTCACTTCTGAATAGATCACTCCTCCTATACTTTTTGTTGGAAGTTTGTGCTTCACCAAAAAAAAAAAAAAACACTTTCTCAACTTGGCCAAGTAAGCCAATGGCCTAAAGTGTTTATTAGTTTTTGTTTTTGTAGTTATGACGGATTTCAATTGTTTTTTCTTTATTCTCTGTGGACTTCTTTTCTTATTTTCGTTTCTCGTTTCATTTTAGCGGCATGGTCTCACAGTATCGCTTGCTGTATCTGGAAAATAGGACAGATACGTTGGAGGCATTGGACAGTTTACCACAGCTTAAACACGTTCACAATTTGAAAGCAAAAATCTTATTTTCAATAATAGTGGTAAGTATCTAGAAATATCATTATATTATTGTTGTTGCTTTTTTGTTTTTCAAAATCGTGATGAAATGCGTACCAAAATCGTAAATGATTTCACTTGTACCCGAAGACATTTTGATTGATTTGACACACCTAGGCAGATTAAAAAGTCAAACACATTTTATTGAATGAAAGCAAAAGATGACGGAATTTTAGAATAAGTTTAGATTTGTTGGTCACCTTTGACATGAATTATGAGCTTCAAACGGCCAATGAAACCCTCACATGCTGCCCGAATGTTGCTCTGCGGTATTTTTGTAGACCCTGCTGCGTCAATGTAGACCACAGTGAGTTTTCATCTTGGGCGCTTCATCGCAGTATGAGACTTCCCTGCAATCTCCTCAACAGCAATTTATGCAGCAGTTGACGCCACACATTTCTGTTCAAGTTCCGGATAATGCGTTATTTTTTCAATTCAATTGTGATAGTCTCCGCGGTAAGATTAACGAAATCGTAAGCTTTATGAGTCGGAAGAACATCAAGGTCGCAGCGATCCAGGAAACGAAGCTGAGTACCCCCTGCAGGCTTCAAAGTTGTGATGGATACAACGTACTGAGGAAGGATCGATCCAGGGGTGGAGGATTAGCATTCCTATTGCACCACTCTATCCAGTACAGACCTATCTCGCCTGAGCTTGACTCTAGTGACCCGTACATGGAATACCCATAGGTAGCGGTCAAGTGTGGAACCGCTGTGTCTCACGTTATATGCCTAATATCAGTTCACTTCTGGTAGGCAATAACCGTCTGGTGCTAGGGGATTTCAAAGCCCAACGTGAATTATGGCATTCGGTCCTAAGTAATGACCAGAGAGGCATGGCGCTGGCTAAGTAAATTTAAACTCCACGTTTTGCACAGTGAATGAGGACGCGCCCACCAGAGTAAGGGGAGACTTTGCCAGTTCCCCGGACGTATCCATCGTGTCCCCAGGTCTGATGAATGACGTAACTTGGCAATAAGTTATTTCTCTAGGCTCAGACCACCTCCCCATTATTGTCGCCATCAACAGACCACCCGTCTTCATAGACTCTCAACGCCGCACTTTCCTTAACCACGGCAAAGCCAATTGGCAAGAATTCAGAGAATATACCAATAGCCGCTTTAGAGAACCGTCCAACCCATCTGATGTTCAGGTAGCAGATAGGTGTGACCTACAGGGTGAGATGAAAAAATCTGCAACCAATAATCAGACTGCTGCCATTTCTAAGCCACTCGTCCGACAGTTGTTAAAATTATTCCAGTGATAGCTCATTATATTGTTTACAAGCGTAGAAAATCATTTTGGTGAGAAAAAAAGTTAGTCGTTATGGAATTTAAGCGTGATAGAGTGTTTGTCTCGTGTCTCGTACCATCGCTCGTTACCGTGATACTGGTAGCGTAGCCCGACGTCAAGGAAGTGGACGAAAAAAAAAAAACAGCAACGTCAGCAGAAATGGTTCGACAAGTAAAGAAGCGACTTGATCGAAACCAGCGTCGCAGTGGTCGAAAAACGGCTCGTGAGCTGAACATATCGCAATATTCCATTCGACAAATATTGAAAAATGAGCCATTGAAATTCCAAAAAGTTCAAGAACTTACACCTCAGCAGAAAGAAAATAGACTCAAAAGAGATAAAGAGTTGCTTCGCTTGGCCGAAAGTGGTGAACTGCCGAATTTGGTTTTCTCCGATAAGAAAACAGCCGTTGTCCAGCATTTTGTTAACAAAAAAAATGATCGTGTTTACTAGCCAAAGAGGTCTGCTGAAAATGTGCACATTCGGTTGGGCACCTTAACTCAAGCGCCGGCTATGATGATGGTGTGGGCCACCATAACAGCCAATGGTCGCTCTCCGCTCGTATTAATCGACTGTAGCAACAGAATAAATGTCAAATATTATCGCGAAAATATTCTGGAGGGTGTATTAAAGCCTTGGGCACTCAAACATTTTGACCTTGGACATTCCAAACGGACTCGCACAACAGGAAATCGCACTCAGCACGCACCACCCAAGAATGGTTACAAAATGAGGTTCCTCGCTTCATTTCCAGCGCACAATGGCCACCAAAATCTCCGGATACCAATCCGTTGTGTCTGGAGTATTTTGGAAAGCAAGGCTGGCGCTAAAAAATACCAAAGTGTCGATCACCTCAAGCAACGCTTCGCCAGGAATGGGCTAAAATACCGCAGAACAACATTCGATAATCGTGCTCATTGGCCGTTTGAAGGCCATAATTCGTGCCAAATGTGACCAATTCAGACAAATCTAAACTTATTCTAAAATTTGATGATGTTTTCGACATTTTTTGCTTTCATTAAAAAAATATGTAAAAATTATGGCGTTTGACTTTGTTGCAGTTTTTTGTATGTCTCCCTGTGTGTCTTTGTTCATTTGTTTGTAACATGAAGAAGTCCAAATGGTTAATATAAGTCGGTTTGGACGAAAGTGTATACAACTTGCTGCCCACTGTGAGTTTAGTCAGGCAAGGAAAATCGTTGAATTCTCTAACTCATTTTTTGAATTACCGAATTTCGGTAATATTCGAAATTTGTCGGTAAGTTAACGACGTAATCAAAGTAGTCGCTAAGGCCTACCCATAAATTGAATTCTCTAAATCATTTTTTGAATTATCGAATTTCGGTAATTTTCGAAATTTGTCGGTAAGTAAGCGACGAAATCAAAGTAGTCGCTAAGGCCTACCAATAAATACCAATGTTGTCAACTTTAACTTCATTTCTCTATCAAAATTTTGGGTTTCATAGTTATCGATTTTTGTTGGTAACTCAAAAACTGAGTTTGAGAATCCCACTACATATCAGCTTACTTATTCTAGTACTATGCCCTCATTTTTACCTCAATTTTGTATTATTGCGTATACGGTGAAACATTCACCTGCTTTCTTCTTCTTTAGCGCTCATATTACAGGGTGTGGTGTGAAGCACATCACTTATAAATTAAATTTTTGATTAATGCAAATTTTGAAATTAATCGACATCACCTCCTTTTAAAAGTCAAATTATCCAGCTACAATTGTTAAAACCCGTAACTAAAATATTTTACTGGCTAAAGCCTTCCATTAAACTTGATAATTAATAGGCATACTACAAATGATAGTTGCTGTTAAAGTTGTTTTTCTGGACAAAACTTTCATTTTCTAAATTGAAACTTATTCAATCGCCTTGATGGACAGGATCAATTTTCTCAATAAAACACCACTTGAAATTATCCATCCAAAGTATTTCATCATTTGCAAATTCACTCAAAATGCCGGCGGCTAATTGAAAAGTTGTGGCCATAAAAACCCACAACACAAATTACCACTTTCGATTCGAAACAAAGTTATAGCACCGTCAAGTTGATAATTTGAAGTTTTCGTCGATCAAGTTTATTATCTTCGAAAGCAAACCAAAACTTGTCATTACACTTCAAACTGGAGCAGTCATTGAAAGGCAACATCATCAATTGAAATTAGTGTAATTGACAATAATGTTTAACTCATGATTAGGACCAGTTAAGAGGCGTAGTTGCGGCCGTTGGGAGTGGAGTCCATTAATATTTTGTTTTCCTCTCTCTTTATTTGCAGCTTTCATTTCGTCTGTGTCATGGCATGAGGGAACGCAAAGTTATGGAAGTTCGACGAACTCTCAATTGTCCCCTGGATAGTACAAATGAAATAACACTGGCCTTGGATAGATCGATACGTCAGCATTTGCATGATACCATTGACACCTTTCCACTGGGCGAAATCGAAAGATCTGTGTTTAATCAGGTACTATTTTATTTGAAATTACGTGTTAATCAAATATTAGTTGATTATCTCTGTTAATTAATTGATTGCAGGTCCTTTCAACATTACATGAGTACTCATGCTTGGAATCATGTCCCCCGCTTATGCATTTTGTCAGTGCTTGTGTGCGTTTGGCCTGGAAAATGGTTAATCAAAAGGTGCCCTATTATCTGGACAATGATTTTAATTTGGGTGAGTAGAAAAAAACTTGTCCGCAGACACCATAATCTATTTATAGCAATAAAAAAGAGTTTATGTCAATTTAGCTATGCACGATCTATTCTATCTATCTGTCTGTTCATAGAGTTTGCACTGAAAACTGTATATAAATAAAAATCTGCGTAAGATTTTAAAGATCTATATTTTTGGTATTTTGAAAGTTTCGGCACCAATTTTCAACCAGATCATCTTCAATTTGACACTCAAAATTATCCTTTTTAAGCCAATTTGCTGCATAGATCCTCTAGAATGACATCTCCGGATTTTAGTATTTCGAAGTTATCGGCAAAAAAAAGATGAAAATTCGCCTCAAATCAGTAGAATACTGAGTATTGGAGGAACGCTTTCATATAGGGGCTCCATGATATCGTGGACCGATATACAGGGTGAGATAAAAAACTGCAACAAAGCCAATTGCATAACTTTTACATTTTTTTTAATTCTATTGAATGAAAGCAAAAAATGTCGGAAATAGCATAAAATTTTAGAATAAGTTTAGATTTGTTCGAATTGGTCACCTTTGGCCCGAATTATGGCCTTCAAACGGCCAATAAAACCATCACACGCTACCCGAATGTTTCTCTGCGGTATTTTGGCCCATTCCCGGCGAAGCGCTTGCTTTGTAACGATTATTGGGTGGCTCGTGCTGAGTGCAATGGTGCTGAGTCCTGCTGTCAGTGGCCAAAATTTAATACACCCTCCTGAATATTTTCGCGATAATATTCCGCATATATTCTGATGCCACGGTCGATTAATACGAGCGAAGAGCGACCATCGGCTGTTATGGCGGCCCACACCATCACCATGGCCGACGCTTAAGTTCTGGTGGCCAACCGAAGGTGCACATTTTCAGCTGACCTCTTTCGCAAGTAAACACGATCATTTTGATTCTTTACAAACCTCAGGACAACGAATGTTTTCTCATCGGAGAAAACCAAATTCGTCAGTTCACCACTTTCGGTCAAGCAAAGCAACTCTTTAGCTCTTTTGGGTATATTTTCCTTCTGTTGCGGTGTAAGTTCTTGCCGAATGGAATATTGCGATATGTTCAGCTCACTAGCCATTTTCTGCCACTGCGACGCGGGTTTCGATCAAGTCGCTTCGTTACCTTTCGAACCATTTCTGCTGATGTTGCTGTTTTCTTCCTTCCACTTCTTTGACGTCGGGTTACGTTACCAGTATCACGGTAACGAGCGATGGTACGAGACACAAAAGATTAATTCACATTTAAATGCTGGAGTACTCTAACGATAGCCACTTGTGGTTTTCTAGCCAAATATAAAGAAATCACACTTTCATGCTTGAATTCCATCACGAATAACTCTTTTTCTGGAAAATTCTGACCAAAATGCTTTTGTACAATATAATGAGCTGTCACTGGAATTATTTGACATCTGTCGGACGAGTGGCTTAGAAATGACAGCAGTCTGAAATTGGTTGCAGTTTTTTCATCTCACCCATAGTTTCCTATGTCGGGGACCAATATTTCGAGGTGTTACATAATTTTTAGCCCAATCAAACCAATAATACCTCCAACACATAGTGTTTAGGGTATAATAAATACTCACAGTTATTTTAATGCAAAATTCACAATTTCAGGTCTTTGTCTGCACTACATACTAAATTGTAATTTTCGTACACTGAATAGCTCTATGGTACTATATTTAATTTGTAGGTCGAATTTCCGAAAGAAAACCCCAGATTGAGCCTCACTTAAAATTTCAAGACTCTAGCTTTAGTTTTTTTTTTTTCGTCTAGGCGTTTATGAATTAGTCTGTCATTTTGTTGAACATAACTAAGCTAAGAAATATCAATCAGTTCCACCATAACCCATCATTCTACTCTTATTTATCTCTCCCTCTGCCTCAAACAGGTTTCTTACGCCCCGAAAAACATGAACGCCATGCACAAGCCGATCGTCGCTCGGATTTAATAAAATCCTTCCTGTGGCCAGCCCTGATGCAAAACACCCATTGTGTGTTCAAGGCAATTGTGGTGACTTAAGACCTGCAGCCTTTTCGACGATAGTATATAAGTCCATAGAAAATACGTTTTTAAATAAGTTCTAAATTTTGTACATATTCATCTTAATGATTTTAAAATAAAAAAACAACAAATAATTAAAATAAATAAAAAATACATTACATATTAAAATAAGCAATAACTAAAATAAATAAATATCGAATAAAATTTTAAAACATTTTATACAACAATGGGCCTTAAGACTAAACTCAAGGTGCACTCTTTATTTGTACATTGCAATGTGTTGTGCCTGTAGAATTCTATAATATCGTTTGGTGTCTGGTACAAACGTTCCTCACGTTTCTCCTGACCTATGGCAAATAGTTCCGTACCCGGTATTTGTCGAATAAATAAATGGAAGAATTGTTTTCGGGCATAAATGCTGACAATGTATTTGATACTGATGTCCTGAAAGAAGAAAAGTCAAATGGTTTTATTTGTTGGATGTTGAGGTGCTATAAAAATTATTCATCTTTACCTCTTCTTTGTAAGGCCTCACCAGGCAAGTACCATCCTCCCTTCCGGTGAGTATTTCTTCTGCTGTTGCCCGATCAACGGTACGATAAAATGGCTCAGTTTCGATTTTTCTTTTTTCGATTTGTAAATAATTGGCATCAATGTCATCTAAAGTGGAGGAGGAGAAGATAAGGAAATGTAGTGAGATTTATATACACAATGTCTAATAAAAATTAGTTTTAGAAATAAACAGTGTGAACAATTTTTAAATCTAAATTTCAATTTTATATGACCATTTTTGTAAGATCCGAGTTTCTGAATATTGATTTTTCAAACATTTTCAATGTTTTTTTTTTTTTTTTTTTTTTGATTTTATATTAAAAAAACTCCAATCCTGTATTCTTGATCCTGGAAGTTTTAATAGTAAATTTTCAAGGACATTTTTTAAAAGTTTGAATTTATCGAAAATATTTGCGAATTTTTTTCAAAAAATATTAAAATAACTCCAATCGTGTATTCTTGATCCTGGAAGTTTTGATAGTGGATTTTCAAGGACATTTTTTAAAAGTTTGAATTTTTCGAAAATATACGCGATTTTTTCAAAGATGTTTTCGGAGAAATTATCAATCGGGGGGTTTTCATTTATACTACGAATTTTTTAAGTATATTTAATGAAGGTTTATTTTTATAGTTTTTTTAAGAATAATTGCAGGAGTAAATTACAAACGTGGATTTTTATGGATATTTTGGTAAAGGTTATCGATTTTTTTAATATTTTTGGAAGAAATCGTAAAATTTTTGTTTTAGAAAGAATTTTTAGGGATATTTTTGGAAGTAGTAACAATTGTTATTAGTAGAATTTTTCAGGATATTTTGTGAGTTATTGTCCATGCAATTATAAAAGTGAAGGGGTATTATGAGAAGAGCCATCATTATTAATCATGGATTTATATTATTGGTTTCTCCACGATATTCGAGGAAGGATTATCAATGGGGGTTTTCAAAAAATAGTTTCGGGAGAAATTTTCAAATTAGAATTTTTATGGATATTTTGGAAAAAATTATTAGTCATGGGTTTTTGATATTTTAGAAGGAATTTGTATTGTTATTTTAGAAAGGAATTTTGGGGAAGTTTGGAAGTATCTGCAATCGTTATTATCACTAAAATAGGAAGAACTATATATATATATATATATATATATATATATATATATATATCTGAACCGATTTTTACCAAATTTGACGTACTTGTGCCTAATAAAAGGCAAATCGGACGAAGATATATATGTGAGCTATATCTTAATCGGAACCGATTTAGATAACATTTGGGAATGGTATTTCTGTGCTGTATTCGATACAATTCCCCAAATATCGTTGGTAAAGATTGCATATTACGGCTACGAAGGACAAAAAAAACAAATCGGATGAACAATATACAGGGTGAGATAAAAAAAACTGCAACAAAGTCAAATGCCATAATTTTCACATTTTTTCTTAAATTTTTTTGAATGAAAGCAAAAAATGTCGGAAATAGCATAAAATTTTTGAATAAGTTTAGATTTCTTCAAATTGGTCACCTTTGGCACTAATTATGGCCTTCAAACGGTATTTCGGCCGACTCCAGGCAAAGCGCTTGCTTGAGGTGATCGACACTTTGTTATTTTTTAGTGCCAACATTGGTTTCTAAATACTCCAGACACCATAGTCCAACGGTTTGGAGATTTTGGTAATTTTGTAAACATTCTTGGGTGGCGCGTGCTGAGTGCGATGGTGTTGAGTCCTGTTGGGATATCCAAGGTCTGCGGCCAGAATATTTCCGCGATAATATTCGGCATTTATTCTTATTCGATTCTTTATTCGATTAATACGAGCGGAGAGCAATCATCGGATGTTATGGCGGCCCACACCATCACCATGACCGGCACATGAGTTCTGGTGGCCAACCGAAGGTGTACATTTTCAGCTGACCTCTTTAGCAAGTAAACACGATTATTTTGTTTGTTTACAAACTGTTGGACAACGAATGTTTCCTCATCTGAGAAACCCAAATTCGGCAGTTCACCACTTTCGACCAAGCGAAGCAGCTCATTAGCTCTTTGAGTCTATTTTCTTTCTGTTGCGGTGTAACTTCTTGCACTTTTTGGAATTTTAATAGCTTTACCCCGAGCTCATTTTTCAATATTTGCCGAATGGAATATTGCGATATGTTCAGCTCACGAGCCATTTTTCGGTCACTGCCACGCGGGTTTCGATCAAGTCGCTTCTTTACTTTTCGAACCATTTCTGCTAATGTTGCTGTTTTCTTCCGTCCACTTCATTGGCTTCGGGCTACGCTACCAGTATCACGGTAACGAGCGATGGTACGAGACACAAAAGATTTATTCACATTTAAATGCTGGAGTGCTCTAACGATAGCCACTTGTGGTTTTCCAGCCAAATATGAAGAAATCATCACGAATAACTCTTTTTCTGGAAAATTTTTAATGAAATGCTGTTCACGGATAAGTGAACATGTTTTTATAATAAAAGAGAATAGCGGGGGTACCTAGTGTAGATGAGAGGGATTTGTTAAATTGGGATCTTCTTAATACAGTCCACATGAAATAAGATAAGAAAATGTGGTGAGCAGACCTTCGAGTTAGAAATAAATAATACAGAATTTTCAATTGCTGCATGTGTTATGGTGGAGTTAGATTATGGGATGTAATCTTTACTCAGAATGATAAGCAAGTGCAGCTTGTTTGCTTGCCACATGTGAGATAGCTATGCGTGTGTATGACGTCCCCCTAAGGTTTATGGTGGCATGGTGCATATGCATGTGTACGGTTGGTATCTCTCTCTCTCTCTCTCTCTCTCTCTCTCTCATTTACACTTAATTATAATTTAGGTTAAGTCATATTATCACAACTAGTTCTTAAGAAATATTTTTAATAAATAAATTTAGTGTCTTACAAACGCTCAAACGGAAAAGACTTTGTGTCTTTTAATTCATCCCAATTTACATTGGTCCACCGAGCCGGATCGGTAGAGGATAAATGTTGAAGAATTTGCCTTAACATCGAGGAAATTCTGTCAGGCTAAAATTGGTCTTCAAGAGTGGAAAATTACCGAGCTAAAACTATAGCTGGAATTGTTCCCATACAGAAGAAATTTATAAGCCAAATAAAAGGATGCTGAGTCAGAAGGAGACTTCAGCACAGAAGACTGTGGTGGCGGTGCACACCGAGGGGGCTTCATATTTGAAATCTTCAGAAAGAAGGGATGATGCATATGCCCAGGAGGACGAATCGGTGAAACGGCCGCCAATGATGAAAATAAAGGAAGATGTTGCCATTCTTCTCGAAATGATGGGTACCATTATGGAAATAATGAGTACATTAAAGACGGAAGAAGCCATACAAGGCGTATTTGACTTCGCCAAAGAAAAACTTATGGACGCGGCAAGAGACATAATATTGTATCCATGCGTTCATAGGCGGTTTTTAGAGATGCTTCTAAAGAAGTCCAAACTAGCCGCTGCTATCAGAGCAAGTCAGGCGAATGGGACAGCGAAGTTGTATTTGGAAGATGTTAAGGTCATCCTTAAAATCACGCACGCTCTTAATTTGGAGACCAAAGAGAAAGTCCTTGGCTTGAAGAAACAAGTGGCCTGCATAACATCCAAATTGAACGTCGAGCGAGAGGGGCGCGAAGCAGCGGTAGCCGCAATGAGAAAAATGGAAGGTGATATTAAGGAAATGGAGTTTGCCTTGATTTCACAGAAAGATGAAAAAGAAGATGCCCTCAAACTTGTCTCCAAATTGAAGGAGGAAGTCGAAAATGCTGTGTGTGTAGCCGAGGATACTAAGGACAAGGGCAAGGCGTTGAAGGCGGTAATAAGACAACTTAGTGATGAGTTGTCTTGTGCAAAAAGAGAACGACTTGCAGCTGCAACCGAACGTGACGGGTTGGCTGCAAATCTAGAAGCTGGTAAAGAAAAAGAAAGAATAATATTTCTGCTGGAGGCTGAAATAATGCAACTTAAGGAAGAGTTGCTCATATCGCAGAAAGCATCCAAAATCGAGGCTGCAAAATTAGTGGTCAATATCAACGAAGATATGATGGTTGAAGAGGTTTATATGGAAGACCCAATTGCCGAAAGAGAATCAACTTTTGAAAAGGTAGATGAACAGCTCCCTGGAAAACTGGACACAGGGAGATTGGAAGAAGTCGAAGATAATCTATTTGCCAGCGAGATGAAAACTAAGAAGAAAAGCAATCTGCGTCGCTGGAATAATAAGATGCTAGAAGACGGTCAAGTTGTGATCAAGATGTCTAGTGGAAGTGGTGCAGCGAATAAAATACAAGCCGGAGTGACAGAAAATTATGAACACTGGAACGATAAACTGTCCAAAGTCGGTAAGTTGGCGCTGCCAGAGAAGGATGAGAACTTTGATCACAGAAAGAAAACAACACATAAATGGATTCAGCCTGGAAATTGAAGCCGGCAGACAAGGGAGGTGGAACCTTTAAGAGAGCCAGGCTGGATAGATGGAGGAGTTACTTGGGTGCTATAACTTAACTTCTTTTCTCTTAAAATGTCACTTCTATTAGATCTATTTTATTGTTCATATTTGTAATTTTTATATTTTATATGTATTTTTGCCCCT